GTACTCGAACAGAAAAGTAACGTAAAAGTAACGTTCGTTATTTTCGAAAAGTAACGGTAACGGTATATCGTTACGTTTGTAAAAGAGTAACGTAGCTCGATAACGCGTTGCTTTTTACCAAACTAACGAGTAACGCTATTTCGTTACTTTTTTTTTGGTAACGGGCACAACACTGCTTGTAACTTGGCAAAAGGTGAACCATAAGCCCCACATCGCGTACCGAGGGCCTCGGTATTCGCCTCTGTTTTGTTCGGCGACAAACTCAGTGGCGCCATCTATTCAGTGGCCCCGGACGCACTCCCATTTACGCATCATTATTTCATTATAAAAGTGAATTGTGTGTAACAGTGGCGTAATCGACCGTTCTCCAGTAGCAGCGCGTAAATTTAACCTCGCAAACACTGCGAAGCCCGCCGTCTAGTTGGGAACCGGAAGGGTTTGATTGCTACCTGCACACTGGCGCCACCACGTTTCAACTCGCGCGAGAAAGAGCGAATACGAGCGCAACGCACACATACTGGAGCATGACGCAGCGAAAAGCCTGATACTTCTTAGCAGTAAAAACTCACTCCGGCGATGCGTAGTCACGCTCCGATTGGCCCACCTGGGCCGTAGCTTCCGCCGTACTGGCGCATTATGCGATCCCGTCTTCCTGCTTCATACATAGGCTAAGGGGCGCCTGTTAACCAAAGAAAATTGTATTTCTTGAAGGATATATGTAATGAGCGATAAGAATTTTTATCGGTTGCATGTGTTAAGGCGATCGGGATCGAGTTTGACGATGATTCGTGTTTCAATATATCAGTTCAAAATTGGCGCCTGTCCATGTCGTACGTGAGCCTTTTTTCGTCCTGTTTGTTCGCGCCTTTTAACCTTTTAATCGATATGAACCAACTAGCCCCAACCAGAGTTTTAAAAGCTCACATCTGAACGATGCTCACGCCACTCCCAGGCATGCCCAATATTTCTTGCTTAAGTCACTAGATAGCGCCTAACCAAACAGCATTGCAGGTTGCCAATATATGGAGGGCAAGCAGTCCGCTTTCAAAATGGCATCCCCGGTTTCCGCCGCACAAGAGTAATTTGGGGAGCTCATGGGACTGGTCTGATGCTAAACCTTCTTACACCCTAAAGGGTGTAAATCAATTTGTTTTCGGGATAACATCCTAAAGGTGTTACGGGTAAAGCCTTACGATGCTAATAAACATACGAAAAGTAGGATGCTAGCGACTTAGAAGCATTCTGGGGAAACTTTTTCAGGAGCAGAAAGTTGCAAGCAACAAGCACCACATTCAATTCTCGCATGCAAAGAAACAATAAACACACACACAGTGAATCACGCATGGAAGAGGAATCATGACACTGGTGACTCCTCCACCCACTTATATGCTCGATAATTCAAGGATTAATCACATTTGCAGGTGGCCGGCTTCGTACTTCGAAAGGCCCACTATAATGCCTAATTGTTGTCAATATATGTATGTATATATGTTTAATATTTTTTTTTTTTTTTTAAGGAATACATTTTCAAGTGGAAAAATATTGATACGGGAAGGTATTATTCGAGAACATCGCTAAAACAGCCTCGGCTATAGCGAGTGTCAGTGCGACGAATAGCCTTTAAGAAGGGTGTCTTCCTCGCTTTAGCACCCTTTTCCAGGCCCGTCATACACCCTTCAGGGATGAAAGGGGTTCAATGCACCGACACTAAATTACGATTGAAAAGGGTGTATTAGATCGAAATAACGGCGTTGAAAGGGAATATTCTCGTGCATAGGTCTCTCAACGGGTGTTTCTTTTACACCCTAAAGCCGCAGTCACGCTTCTCATACATTATGCAAAAAAGACGCTGCTCGCTGCAGCCATAACGACAGATTTATCTGTGTACACGCGTCATACAAGTTCGAAACATGTTTTCTGCGTAGATCTTATGCTTCAAATATGTCTGCGGACAGTTTTCTTTTCTTTTTTCTTTTTTTACATTAGAGAATTTTAGGGAACCCTTTTCGCACTTTCGATACGGCCCGGTTGTACTTAATAGGAAGTTTTCGTAGACCGCGTTTCCCCCTCCGCTAAGCCCTCCGCAACGAAGAAGCCGCTGCTGCGCCTGCGCGCCGAAAGCCTTGACTGTACAGTTCCTGCTATCGTAGTGGGTTGCTGAGAGCGTTGCGGGACGGCGAAAACCATCTACGAAAACTCCCTAATGTGAAACGACGTACGGTAAAAACCCGGAAGGTAGAAACACTCGTTTTGGTTTCCATCTTTGTTTTCGCGAGGGGGGGATGATTTATCCAGCGCTTCGTGTCCATCCGAACCCGACTTCAGGCAGCTGTCGTGACGTCCTCGTATTACCAGTCACGTCACGTACTGCGGGAAATGTTAATCACGCGCACTGACCACGTTGCCTTCATTACACCTCGAGAAAATTTCTTCCCCCCTCCCCCCCCCCCCCCCTCTTCCTGTCAAATGGTCTCCCGGTATTCATCAAAATCATTAGGACCTAATGACAAAAAAAACTAGAAGGCAGCCAAAACTTATAGTCGCATTGTTCGTTTGTTTTCGTTTTGCTGCGTCGTTTTTTTTTTGTTTTTTTTCTCGTTCCTGCTGTTTTTTTTTTTTTTTTTTTTTTTTTTTTTGACCGAGGAAAAAAGAAATGCTTGACGTTGAATTGCAAAACGATGGAAGCGTTATTGGTACGCAGCCAGGCCGCGGTGCTGGGTGTTATACGTCACCTAAAGAAGGTCAACGCGGAGCACACGTTGGAGATGATTGCGCGCTGCGTCAGCGTCTTTTTTATGGCGACACTTTCTCGTGTCGCTGGAAACCCGTTGTGTGAGCCAAAGAAACCGTTCCACGTTAACGAGCAGTCATAGATCAGCGTGGTATCAACGTTCTATATCAAGGACAAGTGTTCGGGCATGCATCCTTGGCGCATTGGAATACTGTTAATCTGGATTCACATACGGTCCAGTTACATTTAACATTCCACATATTTTCTCTAGAACAAGTTAAGTTTATCTGTGTATCAAAAATTATATATTAAACGCCATTTGTTTCGCTTCATTTTTACTTTTTTTGTCGCTACTTGGGTTAATTATTCCCCTTACATGCCGTCCCAATTACACTGTTCCAATTAAGCGCCAACCTGCTCCACCTGAAACTGAAAAAAAAATCATTACTTTTAGATTTATTGTTTACAAATATTAATTATCTGAAACACTGCTTTCTGCAAATTACGATGTATTTACAACCGTCTGAAACATTGCTTTGTATAGACGCTTTCAGGCAGCGTTGCATGGGCACCGCCATAACGGACCTTCAGTTTCTGTTTCCTCTTATTCCGTTCGATTCACTTCATCACCGCCACATCAGGACAAGTTATTTCCATTTTAGATTCTACTGCGTCCTTCTCCCCAGCATAGGCCTTTTGTGAAAGCACGTCAAGGCCCGCTTCAGTGCCTATAGGCCTCTCGGTAAGACAAACGGACGCACGTGATACACAATGAGCAGACGAGTGAGTAGGTGAGCTTGCATATCGTATGAGAACCAACCATCGCTGTCTACGAACAAGCCCACGTTCGCCCACACCATGCATGTGTGGGCGAGGCGGGTGCGCGGAGACTGGATTCGCGCAAGAGGAACCGTCTGCGCATGCACTGTACGGACAGCTGCGCCACCGTAGGGGCGTGACGTCAGCAGAGTTGGTGTACAGTGGCTGACAACTTGAGAAACACGGGGCGTGATGGAAATTAGGTTCACGCTTCTTTGCTTCGCGATTGGTTCTTTCGGAGAGTTCTCTTCGGCTAATGTCGCGGTCTGATTGGTTGCCGAGCGACAATTGGATGTGCGGGACGCGCCACAATCTGCGTTGTTTCTTAAACTGTTTTTTTATTTTATTTTCATTGTCTACGAGAAGAGTTGCTAGTGCGCGCTTGTGTATGTTCCGAGATTTTCGTTCTGAATTCCCATGGAGAAAAAAAAATTATATGGCAAATTTTTGGGGAATTGTGTTGCGTACGTGACACGTTCTAGCGCCACAAGGTCTCAGGTCACGTGACTTAAATTTCCCCGCTAAATTTAGCGGGGCAGCTGGATCGGCGCTTAAGTCGCGGGACGTTAAGTTTTCCGCTAAATTTAAAGGAGGAACTAAATTGCCGTATATGTCATCTGACGCATCAGGTAGCGGGACGTCAATTTCCTCGCTAAATTTAGCGTGGAAACTGAATCGGTGTTTAGGTCACGGGATGCTGATTTTTTTCCCCCTTAATCTAGCGGGGAAATGTACGTGACGCCACGTCGCATGACCCATACACCAGCTCAACTTCTCCGCTAAATTTAGCGGAGAAACTGAATTGGTACGTCGGTCTGTGGCATCCCATAACGCAAAACTTTAAGCCAGATCAAAGCGTGCTTGCTTCGTGCATATGCGGAGCGCAAGTTCGTCTGCTTCTTTTGCTCAGCGGGGTTGTAGTGACGTCAGAACGACGCCGAGCTCTTATTGGATGATTGAAATAAAATAGTGGGTAGACTTTGAGGCATGTAGCATTGAGGTCTACCCACTATCCTTTCAATCACAGCCAATCAGAACTCGTCGTCGTTCTGACGTCACCGCGACCCCTGCGCAAAAAGCAGACGACTTGCTTTTGGCATAAGTGCTTCCAACGTATACAAAAAGTATGCATCATATATATCTATTAAAAGTTGGCTCAAAAATATGTTTTATGCGTAATTCTTTTCTTTTTTTTTTAATTACACAGTATATTTGTTTTCCTACTGCTTTCTACCAAAAATATTTAATCGCACCACGGTTTTTTAACCGGAATTAAGAGATCGGTAATCCGGTTCTCCCCGTATAGACTATTTTCGCTGTCGCATGGCGGGGTCGGGGTCGGGAGGAGTAATTGCAGAGGCTACATGAAGATGAATGAGAACCCGCCTGGAGACAAATCGAATAGCTGGATGCAGTTACTTTGGTCCTAATGCCGGAACCTCATTTGCAGGCTGTTCCTACAAGAAGAAGCAGACTTTCCTGACCGAACTAATCGACAACTTCCGCCGGGACAAGGAGCGGAACGGCAGGTCAGTATTCTACCGTCCATACGTGTGCCGCGAAAAAGCAAAACCAAAATCTGTCGGAAACAGTTTTTTGGGACTCTTTTACGATGGTTAATTTCAACGAAGGATGCGGGGTGGCCCCGCCTAACGTACAAAACGATTGACATAAAACACACAAAAAAGCGACACAGAACTGACGTCCTCGGCTATACGTTGATTTAGTGCCCTTATACGTGTTGCCAAATTCATGAAACGGGGGTATACTCGACCACATCGCGTGACAACCCTGTAACTTTTTTTTTAACACATTTTAATTATGAGAACTGTAGCAGACAGCCTGCTATCATCATCGAAGGGACCATCAAGCCAGGTGCACGGGCTCGCGTGGCTGGCAGCTCGGGCGTTCGGCACCGTATGTCCTGGCGGCCGGACCTGCTTAGTTTCGGCTCTTCGAAATAAATATATTTGCCACCTGAACCAGGTTACAACATTGGCGACGAAAACCAAGAACCCCTGATGACTAGCAGCAGCTCCAACGACCGAGACGTGGGAGACAGCAGCACCCACCGCTTCCATGGCCCTGGGACGTTCGACTCCGACAAGGAAGAGTGGAAGCTCTATCAGATAAGATTTCAAGCTTGCTTGGACGTCGCGAATATAACCGCCGACGTCGACAAGAAAAATTTATTGATAGCTTCACTTGGATCGACGACGTTTCAGCTGCTGTACACCCTGGTTCAGCCTCAGAATTTCTCCGAGCTGACGTATCAAGACCTCGTTACACGGCTCCAGGATCACTTCGCTCCGAGGAAATTCAAGGAGTTCGAACGAGCCAAGCTATTTTCGGCGCGTCAAGAGGAATCGGAGAACGTAAAGGAATTCCTCGCAAGATTACGGTCCATTATTGCAACTTGCGAATATGAGACGGAGACAAACGCCAGGAACTGTTCACTCTTGACGGCATTCATTGTTGGCCTTCACGATTCCCGCATCCGGGCACGTTTGGTAATGGAGAAGGACTTAACGCTAGACACTGCACTGCGGCTGGCCGAGTCTTATCTCAGGGATGAAACGGAGTCCCTCCAATTGAATCGTCCTGACCAAAATGCGCTGCACGTCGACAAAGTAAAGCATCCTGCTTCTACCCCAGCCAAGTGTTTCCGGTGTGGCAACAGCAACCACGTAGAGTCTACTTGTCGCTATCGGAATGAATCCTGCAACAGCTGCGGCAAGAAAGGCCATATTGCAAAGATGTGCCACTCCAGCGACCGCAACAAACAACGAGGAAACCGGAAACGGGACGTCAAAACCGTCACGAACGTTTTCGCTACTCGCGATAGAGACGGCGAATTTGTCACCTGTCTCGTCCAAGGAATCCCCGTTGATCTGCAAGTGGACACCGGTTCCAAGCTGACACTACTGAACATTGACACCTGGGAGAAGCTCGGATGCCCGCCACTCAAGAAAAGTGAGTGCAACCTGTGTTGTTTCAATAACCAGGCAATTCCTCTCAAGGGACAGTGCGTTCTCAACGTCACACTAGGCCAACAGACCTCTGCGTTGGAAGCCGTGGTGACAGAGAAGAGACACACCGACTTTCTTGGAAGAACGTGGATTGATGCGCTCAAGATCGATCTGAACCGATTGTTTGTTAGATCCATTGAACTGACTACACGCGCTAAGCTGGAATCAATGCTCACGCGATTCTCGCGCGTATTCACCGACAGTCTTGGCTGCTGCACGAAGCTGAAGGTTCAGCTACAGTTCAAGCCTGAGGCAACACCACGCTTCTTCCAAGCAAGTCGGTGTGTCTCTTCTCTGTCACCACGGCTTCCAACGCAGAGGTCTGTTGGCCTAGTGTGACGTTGAGAACGCACTGTCCCTTGAGAGGAATTGCCTGGTTATTGAAACAACACAGGTTGCACTCACTTTTCTTGAGTGGCGGCATCCGAGCTCAATGTTGTAACCTGGTTCAGGTGGCAAATATATTTATTTCGAGGAGCCGAAACTAAGCAGGTCCGGCCGCCAGGACATACGGTGCCGAACGCCCGAGCTGCCAGCCACGCGAGCCCGTGCACCTGGCTTGATGGTCCCTTCGATGATGATAGCAGGCTGTCTGCTACATCTCCCCGATTACGAAGACTGGAAGCGCTCCGGTGCCATGCGTCTTCGTTGAGGGTACCTTGGAATGTGCTCCAAATTACGGTGTGAAGCTCCTGGGCTTGCTAGAGTTGGAAATTCCGTTGGAGACGCAGTGCGTTCCACCGGTGGACTTCTGCTGACCGGAAACAGGAGGCCTTCGAAAGCGTCGGATGTGACTCTGTTCTTTAGGTGGTCAGCATGCACACGGCGAACTTTGAAGTTCTCATCCAGGACCTCGAAAATCACGCTGCCTACCCTTCCTTGAATCACACCCTTGATCCAGTGCTGTTTTCTCAGAGGGTGCTTGATCCAGACTTTTTGGTGAATTGCGAACGAGCGCGAGTTCAAGTGGCGGATCTGTGGAGACCTGGACGGTTTGACCGAGGGTTTTACCAAATCAAGCACCGTCCTATAGTGCCTCTGGTTCAAAAGTACGCATGGGGCCTTCCCAGTGGATATATGAGGGGTAATGCGGTATCGCATCAAGAAGTCTTGTAGGCTCTTCCGGCTGTCCTTGCCCTTTGCGCGACAAAGAGCGGTCTTGAACGTCTTCACGAAGTTCTCGGCTTGACCATTTGATTTCGGATGATACGATGGCGTGAGAAGGTGGTCAATGCCGTTTTGAACCAGAAACGTCTCGAATTCGGAACTAATGAACTGAGGGCCATTGTCCGTTACCAACTGTTGTGGAAGACCATGGTACTGAAATATTTCTTTGAAGGCATCCATGGTTGCTGATGCTTTCGTTGATGTCATCTGTATGACTTCCGGCCATTTGCTAAAAGCATCAATGACGATGAGGTAGTGCTTTTGGTCCAATTCTGCAAAGTCTGCATGGAGGCGATGCCAGGGTGTTCCTGGATCTTCCCAACGATGCAGAGGGATTTATGGTCGAGTGTCCGATATTGATGCGCACTGTTCGCACTGTTGAGTTTGTTTTTCGATTTCATGGTCCATTCTTGGCCACCGAACATAAGATCGCGCGAGCATCTTCATCTTCGTTTGACCAATGTGACCCTCATGAAGCAGATCGAGGATATGTGGCCTGAACTTGTTAGGAATTACCGTTCGAGCATTCCAGAGAATGCAACCGTCGAGCTCGGCAAGTTCTGCTCTTTGCTTGTGGAACGGTTGAATATTTGGGTCAACGATCTTCGTTGGCCATCCTTCCAAAATGTGTGTGCGAACCTGGGAGAGCGTTTTATCCTTTGCTGTCTCCTTGGCGATGTCAGCTGCCCTGATGGGGAGCTTTGCCAGAGTTTCGGTGTGGAGTGCGAAGACATCTTCAGACCTCAATTGAATGGAAAACACGCCTTGTGACATCTCTTGGTCAAAGGCTTGATCAGGGCCTTCAGCAAACCGGGACAGACCATCAGCGTTCCCAAACTTTTCGGTTGGAACATACTCGATGGTGTAGGCGTAATTCATTAAGATTAGCGCCCAACGTTGAAGTCTGTTAGCTGAAGTGACTGGAATGCCCTTGGTTGGTCCAAAAATGGTGGTCAAAGGTCGGTGGTCTGTGTACAAGACAAACTTGATACTGGTGAAACTTACGTACACCAAAGATGATTGCCAGTGCCTCTTTCTCAATTTGGGCATACTTCCGCTCCGTCTTCGTAAGCGTCTTTGAGGCGTGAGCGATGGGACATTCTCTTCCATTGATTTTATGGTATATCACTGCTCCAACTCCCTCTGATGAAGCATCTGCCGCAATGTAGATCGTCTTGTCAGGGTCGAAGTGGGCAAGAGCTTCGGTTGCTGATAGATGCTGTTTGATCCTGTCAAAAGCGTCCACACAATCGGAGGTCCAGTTCCAGGCAGTGTCCTTTCGTAGAAGGGCGTTTAGTGGTGCGGATATTTCGGCCAGGCTTGGCAGGAACTTACTGTAGTGTTGGATCATCCCCAGAAGAGATCTCAGCTGGCTGACATTTTTGGGCTCAGGCATGTTGAGGATAGCAGAAATCTTCTTAGGGGACGGACTTAACCCTTCACCGTGAACCACTTGTCCAAGATATTCTACTTGCTCTTGAAAAAAGCTGACTTGCTTTTCTTCAGAGTGAACCCGTATTCTTCGAGGCGCTTGAGGACTCGTTCCAGATTCCGAAGATGATCGGAAGTGTCCTTCCCGGTTACAATTATGTCGTCTAGATAACAAGCCACGCCATCAATACCTGCAGTGACCTGGTCCATTGTTCGTTGGAACACGGCTGGTGCCGATGCAATTCCAAAAGGCATTCGATGAAATTGAAAAAGTCCTTTATGGGTGTTGATTACAAGGACTTGCTTGGCTTCGTCGTCTAGTTCCATCTGAAGGTACGCTTCGGAGAGATCCAACTTCGTGAATCGATTGCCTCCGTTGAGCTTGGCAAACAGTTCTTCAGGTCGTGGTAGAGGATACTGAGCGATGTCCAGTTGAGGATTTACGGTGACGCTGAAGTCTCCGCAAACGCGGACTGAACCGTCAGCTTTGGGGACTACCACGATTGGCGTTGCCCATCTGGATACTTCAACTGGGGAAATAACCTTGTTGTTGATTTGTTTCTGCAGATCCTTTTCTACCGCCGCACGTGTCGCAAACGGAATAGGTCTCGGCTTGAAGAAGCGTGGTGTTGCCTCAGGCTTGAACTGTAGCTGAACCTTCAGCTTCGTGCAGCAGCCAAGACTGTCGGTGAATACGCGCGAGAATCGCGTGAGCATTGATTCCAGCTTAGCGCGTGTAGTCAGTTCAATGGATCTAACAAACAATCGGTTCAGATCGATCTTGAGCGCATCAATCCACGTTCTTCCAAGCAAGTCGGTGTGTCTCTTCTCTGTCACCACGGCTTCCAACGCGGTTTTGACGTCCCGTTTCTGGTTTCCTCGTTGTTTGTTGCGGTCGCTGGAGTGGCACAAGAACTTCTGTCGGACGTGACCAGAACAGGCCGCAATATTTTGTCCTTTGGATTTGTTTTAGGGAATGTCGTCTTTTGTGAGTGTTCGTCGCTTTGCCACGCGACAACAGCTCAGAGAGGGCGCGGTGCTCGTCTTGGGCAAAATATCTTAAGCCGCGCATTCGCCCTCGGCCCAACGATTGGGCAAAGTTAGCCCGGTTCGTCAAATTTTGAAAGGCGTTAAATAGCTGCAATGCCGTGGGCAGTCCACCTTCCTAAGCTCATCGTAAGCATAGTGTACGCTACGTAAACACTCTAAGAAATCGGGAGCGTCAACTTTCCCGCGAAGTCTTCGAAAGAGTCAATCCTTGTAACCCAAGGATGAAGCTCGACGAACGTCTATAGCGCGAAACGTGTTTAGATGTATAAAACATTCTGCGCTGTAAAACTGAGCGTTAGCTTTCACGTGCTTATGTCATGCTCAATAGTACGGCGTAGATAGTCTGTTGTTTTCAGGTCTAAGCATAGTTTCTCGAAACTTCCGTTGAAGATTGTTGGAATTGCACCTCTCAGTTGGCTTAGCAAAAAAAATTAACGCCATCGTTTCATTCTTTTTTTTTTTTTTTTTACGTATATGGAATTTTTTAGTTTGATTTCAAAACAGTGTTGTGGTAAACGTTTCTCCAAAACGGGGAAGAAAGCTCGTTTCTCGACCTTTCTCAATCTCGGATTGAGTACCCCTTACGAGTTCTAGTGGTTCAAAAAGAGCGCGTTTCCGTTTACATTTTCTAAATCGGAGCGGGTAATCGTTACATTAACGTCACTTTTCCGTATCTTAATGAAATATTCGACTGGATTATTTGTAAATAAAATAATAAGAGCGAGCCAAAATATTCGCTTCGAGCTACGTGCCGGGTCGTCACGATCGCACGTGTTACGGATCTTTGTCTGACTATATCTCAGTCTGTCCCTTGAAGTGCGAGGTTGACATAGTCGACGATGAAAACCCTAAATGCCTACAATAATCGGGTTAAATCGAAGAAAAAAAAAGAACACGGCTCTTTCTGCCGTTTCCTCGAAAACGTAACGCGTTCTCGATCCAGTTCCACCGACGTAAGATGAAATGACAGATTAAAAGCAAGTGGTAAAGACTCTTTGTTTTTAAGATAGGAAAATCGTTTCCCAGTCCCCTCGCATCACATTTGCGACGTTCCCGGTATGTTGCAACATGTCACACTTTCCTTGAACTCGGAGCAGTAAGAAGCTAAAAGACATAAACGTACAAACAAAAACTCGGGGTCGGAACGTGCCCTCCGCAATATAGGTGGGATATGAGCGGATTTTCCGGCCGGAAGACCCACGCGCGCAGAAGGGCGACGAACCGCACGATTTGGTGTTTTCGTCACACCGCTTGATTGGACCCATCTAGCTTTAACGCCCCTGCGTTCGTACTTACGGCACACAGACTATTATACTCTTGACCAACAAAATACAAAAAAGCGGACAGAAGGTTGATTACGTTACACTTCTTCGTTTGTTTGTTTCTTTGCGGACTTCTCCAGTTCTCCCGAGGGACCGGCACCAATTACGCGAGACGAGGCGGTGCGGTGGAAGTTCTCCAGCCTTGACGTCAATCTTAACAAGGTAAGCTCTCGATTGAAACCGTGCACTGTGTTCCGAGACGAGCTTTCCCCGTTTGTTGCCTTACCCTGTTTGCAGCCTTTGTAATTCTCAACTGTCGCAAGCTTGTGCCAAATATAGCGCCAGTCTGTGCTGGAGTCGCCAAGAAAAAACGATGGTTACAGTGTATACATGGGGAGCGCACGTTCTTCTGCTTCTTGCACAGGGGTTGCAGTGATGTCAAAACGCCGAGCTCTTATTGGTTGATTGTAAAAAAAAAAAAAGAAAAGGTAGTGGGTAGGACCTAAGTGCATCTAACTTTAAGTTCCAGCCCACTATCCTTTCAATACCGCAATGTACGGAGACAAAACATGGCGTTCGTCGCGGAAGGTTTAAGCCTCGTTCACACTTCTCAGACGTCAGACAAAATATAGGCTGCAGGCACTGCCTAAGGCCTGTTTATTTATTGTGGGACGGTATCATGTCATACACATGGTTACATCATACATGTGTATTGGTCGCACACAAAACTCTCTTTAGATGAGTGTTTGAAGCATACATAGGTGTGTGAAGGAAACGTGCTTCAGAAGATGATTGGGGCGTGTTCCTCAGATAATCTTATCATCATGTCTGCGGTCAATACTGCGTGTCTTATGCACGATGTATTAGTGGAGGGACTGGCGGCTCTAGACATTCGGTCAATGCAAAATGGAGGTGCGATACAGCACTTATTCACTGCCACACTTCGCGAGACGCAACGTTCATCCTTAGAAATAGGGGGTGTATAGGGGTAATAATAATAATAATAATAATAATCGTTTATTTCACCATAAGATTTTTATGGTGGCGACCAGGGACAAAAAGCTGTAGAAAACAGCTTGACGAGGTCCCCAACCGCCTACAGGCAGCAGAGCAGCGTGATACTCACAGTATAAAATACATACAGAGCACAAGCTATAGAAAGAATAGCAGAAAAGACCTTCGTCATCACACACATTGTTAAGGCTGATTCACAGGATTGTTAACTTTTGTCACTTTCTAGCTTTTGAAAAAAGAAAAAAGAAACGTAATACAATCGCGACATAACTAATAAAAAACAGGAGAAAAGGATTTATGCACACGATCGACATCAAACAGAAGGGTCCGAATATCCTTGACAGATAATTTCTCCCAATCGAAGTTTTTTTCGGGAAATAAATTTAATAATTTCGGAATAGTGTATCTGAGCATTTGTGTTCCGTAGTTCGTTCTGGGAGTGACCACCTCCCAACAGCTCGCAGAACGAGTAGGATAAGGATGAACATATTGGGAAAGGCGTCCAAGGCTCACTAGAAAGCTAGTATTTCTAATTTCTTCCACTTTTAGAGTAGTGGAAAGTCTGTAGTCGTAGAGAGAATATATACTAATAATGTGAAACTTCTTGAATAGATTGGCTGTAGGATGATCAAAATCTACATTCGCGATTGCCCTCACGGCTTTTTTTTGCAAAATATTTATTTTATCAAGATTTGCTATTGTCGTCTTACCCCAGACTAGGTGGCCGTAAATTAAATGGGAATAGAACAAGGAGTTATATATTAATAATTTAACATTTGTTGGCAGTACATAGCGGTTGCGGTTTAGGATACCGACTATCTGTGATAACTTCGAGGTAACGTAATTGATGTGATCGTCCCAAGACATATTCTCGGAAAAAGTGACACCAAGTAGTTTAAAAGCATTGACGATCTCAATCCTGGTTGAGTTTATTACGATATGTTTGGTGATATTTACAAGTTTGCTCTTGGGACGAAAAAGCACGGCTTTTGTCTTTGCAACGTTTATTTGTAACGAATTGATGCGGCTCCAGACGTTCAACTTAGAAAGCGCCAGGTTTGCCGATTCGAACAGCAGATCAACGTTTTCCGCAGTGAAAAGTAAAGTGGTGTCGTCGGCGTAGTTTACAAATTTTGCTTCGGAAGTAATGTTAACAATATCATTTACAAATATATTAAAAAGAAAAGGACCCAATATACTACCTTGTGGGACACCAGAAATGATTGGTTTTGTAGTTGAGGAGTGCCCATCAATACAAACAAACTGCATTCGGTCTGCCAGGTAAGATTTTATTAACTTCAGTGCGTGCCCTCGAATACCGTAAGTGTCTAGTTTTTCAATTAAAATTTTATGACTTAGGCAATCAAATGCCTTTGTGAAGTCTACGAAGATACCAAGAACCATCTTCTTTTCCTCGAAGCTTTGAAGTATGTGTTCTTTCTGAACAAGCAGAGCAGATTCCGTTGACTTTTGTTTTATGAAACCAAACTGTGAGGCTGTTATTAAGTTATACTTATTAGAAAAGTTAATTAGTCTTATATGAAGCAGCTTCTCGAGTATCTTCGAAAACACAGGTAGTATCGAAATTGGCCTATAGTTTCCCATATCGTTAACACTCCCTTTTTTATGTAGGACGGACACCTTTGCTATCTGCATACGTTTAGGAAATACACCTGTGGTTATACAAAGATTAAATATATGGGTTAGTACCGGAGCCAACGCATGAACAACATGCTTCACTGGCCTTATCTGTATGCCATCCGCATCACAACTACAACTATTTTTAAGTTGCAAAACTACAGAAATTAATTCGGCGTCAACGACTGGCTCTAAAAATATTGAGTTATTATTTCTGGTGTCACGAAACAAGGAAGAATTTACGGTGTTAGTTTTATCTGCAATGCTTATGAAATGTTCATTAAAGGCATTCGCTAACGCATGCCCAGTTAGTTCAGCACCGTCATTGACAATCTTTACAATAGAGCCGCGGGAGCGATTTCGACCTAAGAGGGCGTTTAATTCTTTCCATATGACATCGGCATGACCCTGCGCTGATTTGAACACGTTAAAATGATAGCTTTGTCTAGCTCGCCGCAGCTCTTTTGTCAAGCTGTTGCGGTATGTTTTGAAGACTCTTAGATCGTTTTGATCTCTGGACTTCGCAAATCTTGCATATAACGCATTTTTCGTACGAATTTTACAATGCAGTTCGGGGGTAACCCACGGTTTTTTAATGCGTTTAGAAGTTTTCATAGATTTGAAGGGAAAGTGTGTCAAATATTGCTCAGAAAACAATTCCATAAATATATTGTAGGCCTCTTCGGCGGTATCCTGGTTGAGTACGCTATCCCAATTTATATCTGATAGAGCGGTTAAAAATGGTCTAGTCCATCAAGTGTTATTTTTTGAAACATTGTACACTGCTTCTTATTTGCCTCCCGTTTCATATATTTGTCAGAAATAAATATTGGGAGGTGGTCACTAAGATCGCAACATACAACACCAGCTTTTATATGCTCTGTCGAGCGATTTGATATAAACAAGTCTATTAGTGTTTTGGATTGGCAGGTAACTCGCGTGGGGCTGTTGATAACGTTTCTGCATCCGCCAGTATTAATTAAAGTCGTAAATGTGCGTTTGACAGTAGTGTCCGTACACATATCAATGTTAAAGTCTCCACCACAAGTAACATTATACTTTCCTTCATTGACAAATATTAAGAAGGACTCAAAGTACTCGAAGAAGGTTTCAAGACTGCCACTGGGGGGTCGGTATATAACAGCAAAAATATTATCTTTACTACGAACACAAAGCATCTCGTAATCCTGTGTGACGCAGCTGAAATCTTTTATTAATTCACAGCGAGAGTCTTTAGTCAGGATGGCCACACCGCCACCACGCTTCTCTGAGCGATTGACGTAAAAAGAACGATACGACGGCAGTTTCAGAACATCAGCTTCATCCGTGTACCAAGTTTCGGTAAGCATTATAATATCAAAGTGAAAACCAAATTGATCGAAAAGCAACTCAAGGTCAACAGCTTTGTTTTTGGCTGACTGAGTATTTAAATGAAAACACGTCACGCATGACATTAGATCTTCACCGAGATAGCTTTTCACGTTTTGCGGTAGAAAAAAGGCGCTTTCGGTCATTCACCTCAAAAAGGACAAGGAGGAAAAAACAGTAAGTGATATTCACAGAATCGTATCAAGGTCGGCAGCATCCGAGATTTTAAGCGCCCTCTCGCCGTCTTGTTTCCTGATAAACACCTTATCATTCCGGTGCCAGACGTATTGATAGTTATTTCGCTTTGCCCATTCTTTAGCCACCCACAAAAGGGCCTTACTCTGTCTCGTCAAGTTTTCTTGGAAGAAAACGTTGCTTCTACTACGCCTGAGTTCTCCTTTTTTGTCAAGCCACCGGTCGCGAGTGGTCTGCTGTGCGAAACGCACAATTACGCCTGGATTTCTATCTTGCTTTGCCGGGAGCCTGTGCATATTTACGATATCGCCGTCAGTCAGTTCTGGAAGGTTTAGTCTTGCTCCAATTTCATTAACACGAACCAAGAGGTTCTCTTCTTTAGCTACAGGGATCCCGTAGATTTCGAGGTTGGGTCGCCTACTGCGCCATTCCATATCGCTTAGATCGCGTTTTAACTGTTCAATTTCCTCGCCGGTTTTTAGTCGTTCAAGAGCTTCAAGACGCTTTTTCACTGCCTTTGTTTCATTGTCCTGATGGTTAATATGCTCGAGAATCTTATCAGCCCTTGTCCCATTTGTGACACCCTAAAACTACATTTTGACGTTCAGTCTACTGACGTCGAGCTGGCGATACCAACTTTCACGAGCGGCTTGATAGCTGTTGGACATAACGTACTAAATAGCTCATGTCCGTATCGAAGACTAGAAGAAAAAAAACATTGAGGTCTTGCAGCAGGGACAAAAAAAAAACCTTGATTGTCTTACTGTAGCCTTGCATGTAAACATTAGCTATTTAAACAAGTTGTGTCGGTTGGCTATCAAGCCGCTCTCGAAAGTTGGCATCGTGGGTTTGGCGTCTGTAGACTGACCGTCGAATTGTTGTTTTGAGGTGTTACATATGGGACAAGGGGTGTACCCCCATACAACCCCTATTTTTCAGAGTGTCGCGTTACCTCGTGACCACGTAACAGAGAGGAACCGAAGCCGCCTGACCACGTGAATCATAGTGGCAAAATCACGTGACTACACGACCACTTGTTGACACATAAGGGCAAAACCACATGACGTCGTACGCTGTACGTATTTTACGCAGAGATTTTCTTTTTTTTTTCGGGTACGACTAAAGTGTCAGTAAATAGATTAACTTATAGATACTTACGGCTTAAAGTTGAACTTACAATGTTCACGCTTTTTTGCTTCATGATTCGTCTTCGGTGTTCCTACTATAGTCAGTGGCAGGTTATGAAGTGGAAGCTCCTTCCCACCTCTCTTCACTTTAGGAGAGCGAACGCTGGAGAGGAAATCGCCTCCTTTCCAGCGTTTGCTCTCCTAAAGTGGAAAGAGGAGGAGCTTCCCCTGAACTCTTACCATGTCACCGACTATTCGGAGAGCAAGTCGACTGCTTCTTGCGCAGGGGTTGCGGTGACGTCAGAACGACACCAAGTTCTGATTGGCTTTGGTTGGAAGGATAGTGGGTAGACCTCAATGCCAGATGCCTCGAGGTCTACCCAATATTTTTCTTCTTCAATTAGCCAATAAGATCTCGGCATTCTGACGTTAATCAAGCCCTGTAAAAGAAGCAGACGAACTTGAGCTCCGCCAAGTTATTATAGCTGGTGCCACATTCTCAGTGAATGTGTAACAAAAATGAGACGCTCGCGCCTCTTCACAATCTACGTCTCTGAAGCTGTCCGTGGGCTTATAGTAGCTACATTTGTCGTTTACCCCTTGCAAGAAATAGCCATGTTTTTTTTCTTATGTTTTACTTTTTTTTTTTCTTCTTTTTGTTGTCGTTGTTCTTGTTTAATGGCGTTTGGCGAATCGATTAGGTGCTTGAACGGCGCGAGTGGAAGCCTTTCCGACGTGGCTGGAAGGACTTCCTCAAGAACGGCTCCAGGACCGGAGGCGGTCGCAAGAAACTGCGCAAGTGCTGGCGGAACTTCCTGCGCTACTGCGACGAAGATGCGGACAACCGAGTCACTTTCGACGAGTGGATCAAGTGCACGGAGCAAGCGCCGGTGCCCGGTACGTGGGTCCGATGGTATACCCTTCAGCGACCACTGGAAACACCGCCTATAGGTAGAGAGCCGTAGAGTGCTCAATTCTATATGTTACCAAGTGAGGTAACATGAATACGTCAGCTCTTGGCCTCAATAACAAGAATCCGACCCAACGCTGTCACGGCACTCGTGCTCAATATGTAACCCGGGCTGGCTGTCAGTAGGTACTGTCACTAAATGCTGTCACTAAGTGCCGTTCTTTATGAAACTACGAGCTACGAGGCACCTCCACCATTTCCGTGCCTTTACGGAAAAACTCGAGGATGCTTTAGGTGTTTAGTTGACGATGGATATATCTGTTGGCTGTGTCAAGTTCTCGTACGTGCAGACGCCACGCGACGTTCTTCGCGGGTCTCCAAATAAATGGAGCGAGCCAGACAAGCCAGGACGAAGGTCTGGGGCCGGACCGTTTTAATAGGGCGGCTGCTTGCGCCACCTGGCCAGTGTTCATAATTTTAACAATCGACCTCTACATGATGTATAGAGCATCACAAAGTTCAGTTCGTACAATTTTCGGTTGGCTTTTTTCTTTTCATATATGTGTTTCTGACATACATACTGTCTTTCTGAGTATAGGCATTCTTGTTCGCAAAAGAAGGTAAACGATAGTCGTATGTTGCCGTTTTGGTTTAGCGCGTTGCGCTTCATACACACTAACTCGACTGAGATAGGTTGTCAGGTTGGGAACACTGTTAATAACTGGCTTTTCTGGCGCGGTGTGGCCTTTGCAGATTGTGCGCCATTAATGTTTAATCATTAGCATCATCATTATAATTTCCTCCTTTCTCTCTGCAGAAACATCGACGCGGCTACCCACAAACCCAAACCGCAAGGGACCCAATCCTTTCGCAACCATCCTTCGCAGCACATGAGGATGGGCACCACGAAGACGTCGCGACCTATGGCGTCAGCAACGGCGTCAATTACGACGCCATCTTTCAACCCACAAGACTACATAAATCAATGTTACAATGGATTTTTTTTTTTCTCTCAGAAGAGTTTTGGGCAAGCGCAGGCCCTCGTCGCGCAGCGGCGAGAGCTCGAACTACGATTGGCGTCCGGAAGGGTAGTTGCGCTACCTTTTCTGCTTCCTCCGAGTCTCGAAAGAATTGCGGAGGGGGCAAGAGAGGTAGCGCAACTTCCTTTCAAGGCGTCAACCGTAGTGCGAGCTTTCGCCGCTTGGTGTCGCCATTATGTTCAAAAAAAAAAGGTCCATTGCAGTGCCTGTGGATAAAAGTGACAGTACGGCTGCTACTTTCCTCTTGCATTTGAGCGAGGCGATTCAGAAAGAAGTGATTCTTTTCCGCGCTGGAGGCATACGACAAACACGCCAAAAAGGACAAATGGATGCGACGTCACAGAACTCCTTATCAGGTGGACCCACTGCTTCCGGTTTTGCGCACAACCAACGGGCACTCCAGGAACACCTTTCCTTCTACTTGATGGACATACACTTGTTTTGTGCTTCGTATTTTCACAGCGGCTACGCAACGACGACAGCTGTGCAAGTGCTTTTTTGTGCGAGCAACATTGCGCGGCAAGGAACTCCGACGTCAGCAGAAGCGTCGACGCATTATCGATGACGTCAAGGGCAACGCCACGCTTTCTCGCTTGACGAAAAGCGAAACTAACAAGAAGTGACACTGCAATTGAAGCGGCTGGATAAAAGCGACAGAGGGCCATTGGTTACCATGGCAGCAGCACCGCAGCGTGACGCTTTTTTTTCTTTTTTTTTTCTTTTTTTTTTTTTTTGTACTCTCGTTTTTTTTTTTTTTTTTTTTTTATTTAATCACGTAGAGGTTGCTCCTGGTGACACTATGCCGCGACCCTGGGTACGCGGATAAGAGCCGTATTTTCGAACTCAACAACACATTGCTGCGGTTTGCTCGTCTGATTGTTTGTTTGTTTGTTCTTGCTTTAGCGTATTGACGTCTCTTACGACTCTAACTCTATTTCGTTTCATGGCCCATTCTGTTCTGTGCTTGACTTCTTGCATTAGTGAGACTGTCCGGGTCGCCCAGGAAACGACGGACCTTCACTGTCAGGGTAAACAAAACCCAACCGCTCCGTGGGAGGGAATAGTAATTTCCGGTTCGGGTCTGTTTGCGGTCCGTGTGTTGGCGTTTGAGGAGACAAATTTCGGTATTGATGTGTTTTATTGTTTGTTTGTTTGTTTTTCATCGAAGCCATTCATTCCCAGTTGAACTGTAATATCGAGCAGTCCCAAGAAGTGCGGCTAGAACCAAATTATTTTAAAATGCTAACTGCGATGAAGAAGCTAGCTTGTTTGTGGGGTTTTATTTTATTTTGTTTACCTCATGTAAGCACCTTTTCAGCACTCATTACTCGGGCGGAAAAGGGTGAGTCATTTTAATGGGCTGGTCTCTAGATTTTTTCGATCGTCAAGAATATTATAGCTTGAATGAAATGTGGACTTAATGGTCTTTACTATGTTTTGCCTATAGCAAAACATATTTTTGGTGGAATACAAACTGTCATCGGGACTCAAAGTCCACTCAATTTATCTTATTACGTTGAGTCGAGCACGAAAATAAAATACAAAAGCATTCGATGAGGAATGGACATCTGCTAACTGCTTGTTTGTTTTTAAGTGTGCGCCCGTTGGCGTCCTACGGCAGTAAAACCTTCCCAACATGAACACTTGTCAAGCGCGCATGAAGTGTCCAACCTTATCACGGTCGCAATACGTGATAATATTAAGGGAGTTATAATGTGCTACTTGATGTTTTACCTTTTTTACCATGTCACCTCAAGTCTAGAGTCTCTCACCGTAACGCCTTGTGTGCGTGCATGTGAATATTCGGCAACCGAGCTGCAGCCGCGAATACAATCTTGGTTGAGAAGGATTTTCGTTGAAGGTTATGCGGCCATTGAAAGACAGTGTTAAATGTTCAGGATGTAGTAAAGCTCACATCTTCCAAAACAAAAAAAAAAACACCAAAAAGACGTAGTATTTTATGTAAATATAGCAAATTTCCCGCCCACCGCACACGGGAACCCAGACACGCACGCACGCGCAAACATATTTAACCTGTAAATGCGGCCACACGTGTTTAGGTTACAGATGTGCCATTATATGTGGACATGAGCTACGTGACACTTAATGTTTCAGCTTCGCTTGGCGTGTTCTAATTGCATGAACCTTCAACATGGAAAACTGTTATGAATCGGTGATCTTCAGCGCGTGTTTTCAGACTTGCTTTTACGGTTTCGCGTTTTGACCGGCACGTGCTGTGAATATTTGATATTTTTGTGCATACCGCCGAGTGAACCTGTGTTGAGCAGCTTTGTGATCTAATCTCTTACGTAATGCTGCGCATGATGATGTATCTCATCGGTATTTTCAACACAAGTGTCCAAATTTAATGAGCCTAGTGTTCTTGTGTACCTAAAGCAAATGTTGCAATTTACATTTTTTATTGGGTTGCGGTTGTGCCAATTTTGCTTTAAAAATCGATTTGCCCCTTGTTAGTGCCCAGCTTTTAAACTTGTGCAAAAGTCTGAATACAGATGCGCCATCTGTGGGTGTGTTCCTGAAACTTGTCTATTTCTGCTTAGTACAAGTCTCAACGAAGGCTTGCCCACAGATGGCGCTATCGCAGCCGGAACGAGGGCGTTGTCATTGAGAACGCCAGAGGAAAGCAGCGTCATCTAGGAATGAATCCTTAAATCGGTGAGATGGGAAGCTCGCGCCATCTAGAGCATGAATTGAGCACTGACGCAACTTGGTAGATAAAGCGTAAAACGGTGGAAAAAAGATATCAAACTGCACACGAGACGACTTGCGAATACTCGCAGGAGTTCGGGGGGACATAATTCCAACGTTGAAACGTTTTAGCCGACCTCTGCGAACATTACCGCCCACACTTGAACTGTCATCGACACCTGTACATAGTTTATTTCGCCCATTTGCTTGCGACACCAATTGTCCAGACATTTTATATATAAATATATATATATGTACAATAATTGTCTTGTAGAATAAAATTCATGTTGACCACCATGTTTCCCTTCCTCTGGCTTCACTCGAGAAACTGTTCAAGGTCATCATTTGACATTGCGTGTTTTCTGTTGTACATGAAAGATTCACTCAAAAAGTTTTAACCTCGGTCTTTTTTTTTTTCTGCCTTTTTTTATGAGCATGTATTGGACGCAAGGGCCATGTCAGCGTTTGACATGAACTTGGTGCAGCTCGGATCAAGGACGGGTGCCACATCATCGTTCGGCGAGAAATCGGAGCCAATCAAAACGCTTCGTGTGTCTAGAAATGGCCCCGCAATGTTGCTTGATGGAGTTTTCGGGAAAGGGTCTCTTGATAGAAGATTATACACCGCTGAAACGTATTTCTGCCTTCCTTCCTTCACGGTGCATAGGAGAGAAAGCGGGCGAAACTTTAAAACGCGTGTAATACAGAAGCGGAAAACGTGCGCAAATAACCCGTGCATTGTTTTTTTTTTTTTTTCGTCTTAGTTTTCATAAAATGGATAAATAAAGTTTAAACCATAAAATGCGAAGTCAGAAATCTGGTTAGGTTGGAGGTAGAAATGTGAAATGAATATTTTAACGAAGGAATCCTAAAATAGTATTGACGTGTTAGAAACACCGCGCAGGAAAGTGACAAAGGTGAGAACTTTCAAATAAGGTTGAAAACCGCCTTTGGTTGTTCGTTTGTTTTGATTATGGCTACACTTTTCACGTGTGTGAAGCATGATTAAAGTGACCGGTTTGTTTACACATGCAATAAGCGCGGGCTTAAAGAATAATAATAATAAGCCCCGATTAAATTCATTAAACGGTGAAGCCAGAGTTTCGCATTTCTTTTCCCTTCGTCACTAAACTCCTCACTAGCGGAGGAAAGATCCCTCAAACACGATTCCAGGACAAGCAGATGACCGCTAGGAAGATATAACGAAATAAACTTTGATTTGATTTGATTTGAGTTGCGCTACCTCTCCTTCCTTCTCTGCGGCTCAGATGAGTTGGGGATGAGGCAAAAAGAGACGTAGTGCCACTCCTCTTCCGGACCGAACCTTAGTTGCAATAATACTTAAAAAACAAGCGAGCTGGTGATGATTCATGGTAATAAAACCCGAGACTTAGGAACACAGAAGGGGACGTTGCGTTGTGTTCGTCCCCTTCTGTGTTCCTGAGTCTCGGATTTTATTACCATGAACCTTAGTTTGAGCTTTCGCCCCGCTGCGTGAACGAGGGCGCCTCATCAGACCTAAAACAGAATATCTTCTGCAACGGAACCACAGAACTTCTTAAGTATCAAGAGGGGGGATAACTCCTGTGGCCTGGAGCCTGTTTGCGCCAATATAAAGGATGATTGCAGCGTTCGGGTCCTTACCCGATCACCGCAATCATCCTCTTTTCATAAATACTATCCTATTGAATCGAGCTTGTCTTTGAACAATCGCACACACCCAGCCCATCTCTTTTTTCTTGTCCTCAATCATACAATTAACGCGATACGCTCCTGTTGTACACCGGTCAATGCGAATAATGGAGTATAGTATCACAAGGTACATGGTTCGGTTCGGATGATACGCTCCCTAACAGCGGTAATGCATCAAAGCCACGTCTCCTCTACACGAAAGAAGCTTGACGATTGACCGCATGGAACCACCAATTTCTCGACCACCGGAAACGAGGGCGGGAAGCTCCGAGGTTAGCGCTCCATGACACGGCAGCGGTCATCCACCGGAACGCATTTCGCGAAACGTGTGCTGAAATGTGACTCGGAGAATGGCCACGTACCTGGCGTGGCGCTGATACCGGAGGTTCTTGCCTGCCGTTCACACTTTGCTCTTTTACGGTGGAGTCCTTGTACCCAGCTGTCAGGCATCCTCAGTATATAGCAGATCAATTAACTCTCCCAGTGCGGGGCCACTGCAGTCTCATGAATGTTTTCTAGAGCTTTCCACAATATTATTTTAAGCACCTGAGACTTAGGATATCAGTAAGAAGGGAACAAGCACACGACGGGTCCCAAACAAAACTGAATTCTGTTCATTAATAAAACCCACCAGCTTTCTCATTCTTTCTCTCTCTCTCTCACTTACCTTCTTCAATCCGTTACGAACAAGACGATCGTGTTTTTTCTTAAATATGGCATATCTTATGTACTACCCTTATTTCAAAGCAACCTCTTGAGTGATACGACAGAAGAAAAATACCGTGAAAGCTAAAGGCAATTAACAACTACAACACAAAAAATGTCCCGACGGTGGCAAATTAAAAAAAAAAAAATATATATATATATATATATATATATATATACAGTGCCCCTCAAACTTAACGCCGCCACAAGATCGTTCGGTTTATTCACTTGTTGACCTATTCCTGAACCTAGTGGTCGAACTACTTGGTGAACATTCGCGTCCCCGATGAGAACCCAACCAGGGGAAGGTATTTGAGCAGCTGCAGCGACCAATTTATCTTTGGGTAGCATGCAATAGATCAATATTTGCGTAACCGGAGTGTAACCGAGCGGCGGCGTTAAGTTTGAGGGGCACTTACATATGTATAACCTTTAGATAACTAATTTTAGCCCTTCTCTTCTTATGGCATCGACAAAGTTCTTAGTTGATTTTATATAAATTAAGCTCTCAGATTCGGTTCGGTCCAAATCTATTAGTGGCGAGATGTTTCGGTGGCGCCCTCGTTTGGTTACCTTTCGTGACGTCATTACCTTGCGAGCAACAAGTTCGATGGTGTTTGTATTGAGCATGGTGGAAGCCTGAAATCATAGCGCTCTCAAAGCAACACCGCCAACACCGTTGAAATTGAAGTTCTTACATTCCTCTTATTTCCGTCGATGAAACATCCTTTCCTGACGTCATAGACAGCATTCGACCAATCGTGGAAGACCGACCACAGCGACGCTTTCGATCACTCACGTCGCCAATAGACGCTCTGCAGCGGTTATTTTTTGGGCGACGCGACAACCGATCTTCAGTTTTTGTTTCCTCTTATTCCGTTTACTTCACTTTATCATGAATATAGCAGGCCACGTTAGTGCCATTTTAGACTCTATGGCGTCATTTTCCCGAGCATTTCACTTTGTGGAAACTCATCAACGCACGCTTCAGTGACTTGGTGTCTCGGCAAGACAAGAGAGGGTCAGCAACGGCGACTGTAATTCGACGGGTGTGTAAAGCGTCTGCAAAAGAGGGCTACAATTAATGCCAAGGCTGTTCGAATTCCGCGCACGCGAACATGAGAATGAACATAGATCAAACCTTCTTTTTTCTTATTCACAGATTTTAGACGCCTTCGCGTGTGTACGTGTCTGCACATATTGACATACTTATAGCTGTGTTTTTTTTTCTACCTTTTTTTTTACAAATTTAAGGAGGAAGACAGGCCAGACGTGGGCTTTCTCTAAGGACCCCATCCAAGCCCTGACAGATTACACAGTCTGATCGAGAACGATAGAAGGCGCCAAGCGTCTCAGTCCGGTCGATTAATCGGAGCTTAGGCTGGCGAAAACATTCCAGGACACCAGGCTGCGCTACAAGCGTAGGGTTATTTACACACCCCAGAGCCACCGGGATTTAGAAATCCGACACTCAGACGCGCATAAACACACAAACGCACGCACGCACGCGCACACACAAAATGTAAACCAAAACAAAAATCGCTGCTTCTTTATTTATTATTTTTTTTTTTTTATATATATGTTTATGGAGATTACGGCTTACTCCTTCTGGGGTACTAGCGCGAGCCGGCCGAAAGCAGGACCTCGCTGTCCTAAATAAAGTTCAGAAAACTTTCCCAAGAAAGAAAATAAAAAGCGGGGGGTTAGGAGCACGCGATAAGCAGGACGTTTTTGTACAAGAAGGCTAGGACAAAAATGTTGTCCCCGAAATATAAAAAAGCCAAGTACATACGACGAGTATTCGGTATCCGAAAAATGTCGTGGTACGTAGCAGTAGGACGCATTTTACACTTGTTTTTGTACATAAAGGTGAGTTGTTTGCTTCTGCTTGTTTGTTCGTTCGTTTGTTATTAAACGAAATGTGTGCGGGTGCCATTTTTTTGCACTCGTGCTTTTGCGCGTGCGGCGTGTCAGTATGTTTGCTTTGCGTGTGACTAGTGTCCACATCTGAAAGGGATACGTATGTCAGCAAATGTTTACCGTGTGTCAATGTTCGAGGTACTCATACCTTGCTGTGTTACCTGCAGGTGTCATTTCACCCTGTCTTTTTTTTTTCTTTGAAATTTATTGTACTCATTTTTCTTCTCAGACAGGCGCTCTGTCAGTTTATTTAGAAAACTGGCAAGCACTGTCTTCCTGTTGACAACGGCACCTCCGAGTGCGAATTGGTATCATCATTTGTAAGAAAAAATAATGCAGTGACGGGTCAGACTTCAATGCCTTATCATGCAACAACAACGGTTACTTATCAATTGGCACAGACATACGACATTATCGACGGCATGGCTAAAACTATTACGACTGCAGTGAAACTGTAAGAGCAAACTGAGATATATATGTAATAAAATACAACCAGCCTTTTTCACGTCAATCCTTTTTACATCCAATGGAAGTAGCGTAATTCGTCGTTTACTTAGAGGGTCGATTCTGGAAAACCGTTCGTTCAAAATTGAATTTCCCAGTGTAGATATTGAGATATTGCCAAAACCAATCTTGATATAAGTTGTCTGAGAATTAACTTAATTATTTAATTGACGGGAGACTGATGGCCGAGTGTGTTAGCGCACACAGCAGCTCGGAGCACAATGCAGCAAAAGCTGGGCCAACGGTATCACTGTAAGGGGGGGACGCGGCGGCCGCTGATTTTAGTGACGCCACTGATCCTGATGTCACTAACCATCCCCATCCACTCTTACCTGAATGAACATCGTGCCGGCGTCTGTCCGTGTAATTACTAGCACGTGACGCGCCTTGAAGAACCCAAGCTAGCAGTCGTCCTGTACTGGCTAAATTTCTGATCTACCGCGAGGACACCACAAATCCAGAGGAGCTAACCAAATTCCC